CCGTAGGAGGGACTAGGATATTTCGGTGATTCTTGTGAGGTTTCATGGCTGAAGCAATACTATTACTACATTAAATCCTGTGAACGGTTCCTGATAGGCCTTGGCTGTAAAGGATGACAACCTCTTCCTTAATTTTGTTCTTTTCTTTTTAACTTTCTTCACTGCCCAATCAGGATATTCACATGATTTGATGGCGTTGTGGATAAGATATTTTCCTGCTTCTTGTCTTCTGTGATAATAGTTTCACTTTTTTAACAAAGTTTGACCAACTCTGGCTGTCAGGGGTGGTGCAATCGGAAGTTGAGGTATTGGCCCATGTGCATCTTATTCCTGTATACCAACAATTTTACAGCACCGCCATCTTTATTTACTAGAGGAGTGTCAAGGAATGACAAAGAGCTGCCGCTTTCTTCGTTGATGGTATCTATAGTGTTGATATGAGCAATCAAATCTTTCTGTGACGCTTTTTTGGCTGTTTATCGTTTCCACAGACTAGGCTTGCATTCTACATGGGCTTTGGCTATAGCCAAGTGAATATATTGGCCACAATTGGAGACACTTTGCTGCCCATAGCTATGCCAAACCTTTGCTGATATATAGTATCTCAGAGCGCAAAATACTTTGTTGTAAACACAAATTCTAGTAAATCCATTATGTATTGGATATGGTGTTCTTTTGCCATGACTACTTTTCGTTTAGGCGGTTCCGGTTTCTGTCAGTGTGTGGGTTGGTGAAATTAGACACTTTATCGTTTGAAATGAAGTATGGGTAGTTCAAAAGAAGTAATATGAAAATACTCTTTGAAAGGTCTTTTAAGTTTCTGATATGCTGTTCTGATTTCCCAATCATGATTTCTGAAATGTCTGTCTAGGACATGGAGATATTGTGAACAGTGAAACCAGTATAGCTAAAGAGGGCTGTAATTAGTTCACTTCTTTGTAAATCTTGGGTGTGCAATACACTCTAGGGATAGTTTTTGTAATTTGATACAGGTGTCCATATTGTAAATCAGTAAGCTTGTATTCTTTCTGTAGTTTAGATAAGACCGCAGCCTGTCGCTTATTTAACTTTTGGGTAGGTTGTTCTTGAACCATGACTTGTTCTAAAATTTGTCAGTGTCCATTACGAATGTGGCTTTCCCTTTTCTTTCCTAGAAAAATCACGGTAGATCTGTCCTCGCCTAATTATTTCAAAATTTCTCGTTTTATATGAACTCGCATTTTCTATGTACTTGAGTGATCAAGATTTTCATTTGAATTGGGCACGTATAACTTTATTGAAGTCCTAATCATGTATCAAAAACAATGCGTTGAGGTTTGTGCACTAAGACATTCAAAGTGTAGCCATCTTCCGTGTTTCATTTTAGCGGTCGTGACTGCACCCAACAGTAAGCTTAACCAATTAACAAATCACGAGAAATAAATCTCATAAATTCATGCATGACGTATTTGCCAATATCTGAACTTAACGATTTTAACCAAAACATTATACATGTACCTACATGTAAATGTGGTCGGTTTTCACTTTCTGGAGGCGAGACATTCGTTATATCCAATTCATAGAGTAAGGTCGATAAGGTCCTTTCCTATCCCAGAGGACGTTACCATGACATACAATTGTAAGTAATTAATATTTAATAGCACATTTCGTCGCGTGTGCCATTTTAAGTGTTGTGCAATGTTACTCTTTGGGAATCGTTATTCAATGAGCTGCATGTTAATCAATAACGTTACATTCTTGGAGTATGATTAAAAAGGGTATTTAATTCCCTAATCGTGTTGGCAGAATCGATATTAATCACAATGAGTACTAAGATGAAAAATGGAAATAGTTTTACACAATCGCACATTCCATTTACCAAGTCAACCTTTTTTATCCTTTAAGAATAAGTTACTTTGGTTGACTATTTTCTCCTCACATTAGTGTTATACAGATGTTTGAAGTTGGTACCAACTTTCAGCATTCACAAAAGTATTATTTAATTATTCATAAACACTGTTCCACTTGAAATGTATTCGTGTAATAATATCCTATTACTGCATCGTCAATACAGCACTGTCATACGACTCTTCTCTACCGTGTCTCCTTACCGTTGCTATACGATGGCTGAGAGCAATTATATAACACTAGCAAAAATGCGTCTGTTACACACAGAGTTCATACCATCGTAATGCCACACAACGCTGTTCAATGACAGTACAAAGCACACAGTGAACAGCTGCACCTTTTAATACGAATTCAGAAATAAAACAAAGAAAACTGCATCATACAGTTGTCTCGTCCTTCTATGACTAGTCTGTGGTGCTGAGGGCCTACATTTTGAACCCTAGAAGGCGACTAAAGAAAATCCAAAGAGATCGAAGATGTCAAACTATAGACGGGGAGGTGAACTAGCCCAAATATTAAATAGATTTTGTACTTTTCAACGTATCAGATAAATTTAGAACAGCGTCAAGTATATGTGCATATTCTTTTTTTTATTTCAGAAAACGATGTATGATTCAATGATATGCATCTGAATCACCAATGTATATGTATAGCACGTCCCTAAGGTAGTGAGCCGGTCCAAGTGAGGAGGGCACAACATTTTGTTTTCCAAATGCAAAGCAATTTTGTGTGAGAAAGGAAAGGTGTGGTAATGAGACGGGACGTTTACAGCACTCTAGGAATAGTTGACGTTGGTATCACGGAATGTCCGATTTCAAGACGTACGTAAAATCAAATATATATGGTATTTGAAAAAAAGGAGCCCTTCATTGTTGGGAAACTACACTATGAAGTAAAGAGTAGAAGAATGCAACTCTGGGGTGAAGGCAACGAGAGTGGGCGTAACCCACGGAGTATCTAAGACGGATGTGGTTCCGCTAGACAGAACGTGACATTCAGAAATCTTAGTCGTAAATTTCACAACATGTACACTGAGGAGCATGGTTCGAGGGCCGGAACAGATGAAAACAACACAGTACCATATATTTTTTTTAGTAAATTTTATAGAAACATTATTCAAATGAACGCAAAATGAAATGTTTTCTATTTGGTTTTAATCACCGTTTAAATGAGAAATTAGTCTTAACTTCATATATACATATATTCGTTGATCTCACCATAACTTGCAGTCGCATCTTTCATGTAACTTTTGTCCGGCACTTACTTTCGAACACTTCCTGACGCTGAGCTCTCGATATTTTCATTCCAGATTCTTTCTTTGTACATGTTTTGATACGTTAATATCAATGTATTTTTTGTTAAATGCAAACAAACAAAAATAACATAAAAACAAACAAAACATATGGATATTTATCATTTTGTGACAATAAGATTTTTGTCAATTAATATATATATTTGATATCAAACATTTATTTGTTTTCTGTGTTGTTATAATATGGCTGAATTAATTTGTTACTTTCAGATATTTATCAACAATGTGGACATAAGTAATGGTTTTTAAAAATTGTATATTTAAGACAAACAATTATAAAAACTACACATGAAAAGTAATTTTTAAAAGTTTTCTTCAGCACATAAATTATGAAAATTACATTACATCAACAGTAGTAAGGTTTTTAATTGTACAAACACTACACATGTAAATAGCACTTATTATGAAAATTAGAGTGATGAACAGCGTGGTCTTGTAATGAGCTATATCAAGAGAATATCTGTGGGTTATCTGTTGGATATCATATAAATCTCGAGTTTAACAGAAAATCGCGATAATTTGTTATACATAATCTTTGGTGTCGCATGGCGTTTAGCTTGACAACAAGGTATAGCGCCATTGTGAATATATGGCGGTAAGAATTCCGCCGTTATATGCTTTTGTATGCAATAATGTTATTAAATAATTCAAAGAAAATCAACATTGTACAGAGCAATAATTGATGAAAATCTATTAAATCCTCGCTTCATTTGCCATCAAACAGAAAAATCGACTGATTTTTTTCTTATTTATTTTTTATTTATTTTTTTTTTTTTTTTTTTTTGTAATGTATGAAAAATATTGTTACTATTAATAAAACATTTACAAACTAGAGAATCAGTGAAACTGATTTATGCTCCCCGAAAACGACATTATTGGACGCATATCTTTAACAAAGGGCCATAATTCTGTAATTAAGTACCTTCATGGCCTTAATTTGGTACACTGTACACTCTCTTAGTATAACCAATATATACACCTCGTTTTAATGCAAGCAAAGTGATAATGGCACAATATTTTAACAAAGGGCAATAAATCTGTTAGAGTCACAGGCCCTGACTTTGCTACGCTGCACATCGCCTTAGTATGACTATTGTATACACATGAAGTTTCACGATGCTTGCTTAACTGTGGGCAAAGTTATGTTCCTGACACAAAAGGACGGACGGAACGGACGAACAGACAAAGCGACAACCATATGCTCCCCTTCCCCTACCTCAAGCCCTCCCCACCGAAAAATTACGGGTAGCATAACAAAAGAGCCATCGCTTGGCTTGTTATCGATAGCTGCAGTTATCTTGCAAACCCTGTACTAAAATATCATGTTATGTAGATTCAATAAAGCACAAAAATAGATCTGGATATACAGCCCAGACTTAACACTATTAATATCACATATACTTCATGGGTTACGATCACTTTCTCTCTCTACCCCTGGAACATTTTCTGGCAAAACTGAAGACAAGCGAAGTAATTTGATTGGTCTAGAGCAGATTTCAGGAAAGAAAACAAATGACCAATCACAAATTGATATACTCCTTTGAAGATTACAGGAGCGACATCAAACTTTTAAAGTCAGTACAACATATTGCCATATGACCTCGAGATTCGTTTGATGTAAATCAAAGTACCCTTCTTATCTGGAAGTTGTCGCACATGGAACCTTCAATTTTGCCATGAAATGTTCCAGGGGTGCAAAGAGTAATGGTAGCCCAGTAGCGTTTCGTTGATGAAATCAATGTCATCCGACACATTGTGACGCTGAACCATTGAAAGGGGAGATAACCATTCAAGAAACACTTTACTCTTTATCTTGTAAATTGTGTACAAAATCAATAGGAGATTTAGTCAGATTATCAGGATGGTAAGCCCGTAGGTAGTTTTCAGTCTCGCTGTTCAGAGTGTTTTCTCTGCTCATGTCAATGTCGTCGTAAAGATTTGATTTTACTGACGTCATAGTAGACGTATTGGCGTAATCGTTAGATGCCATATCTGGTATGTCCGCATAATGTTGATCAAATTTCTCTTTGAATACTGAATCAGAATCGTCGTCGTCAAATGACGATTCCAGTGTGTCATACTCTCCACCACAAGCTCCTTTTTTGCTGTCAAGATCAACTTTTAAGTCAGATAATGAATTCACATAGGCTTCCTTGCTGAATGTTTTCCCAGAATCAACATTGGTGATTTTCAACTTCCTTGGTATCTCGTTCTGTGTGTTATCATACACATTATTATGGTTATGTTGTGACACAGGGACGCCAGAAGGGGTTACGTATATATTCTCTGCGGCTCTTGAATCTGCCATTTGTGCGCGTTGAGAAATGGTCACTTGATCTGTGTTCACGGCATAACCAACATTATCAAATCCGTTGCTATCTTGTCTCTTCTTTGATAATCTACATCTGAAAGTAAAAAATATTTTTAGGAAATTCATCAGAAAGAAATGTAGGTATACATGTAGTTCCAAAAGTTAAAGTATTGAATATATCTAAGATATTACTACTTGTGCATGCATGATAATTTAATATTTACCATAGCAAAGAAAAATTACCATTTAAGAAAGATAATTATATCTAACATTAATTATGTGTTGAATTAAGATTTTACCTTCTCATGAAAAGAAATAGCACTAAAGCTATAAGAACACAAACGGCCACCAGCAGTCCAATAATCAGTCCAATCAGAGTATCTGTAACAAATCATAACGGTAGACCAATCAGATGATCTGTAACGGAGCATCACCATGCAACCAATACCTTAAGCTTAATGCACGTATCCCCTAAATCTGCCAATATTGTCAATCCAATGCAAAGGTGATCTTTGGTCTCCTTATAGTAGGGTTATAAGTTAGACTTATTAAATATTATATTGATATACAATCAAAATAAACAAAATTTTTATAACAAACATGACAAAAACTGATTGGTGACATGTAAAGTCAATTTGATTTTTCGTCAAAACTTGATAATCTTACCGAAGGCAAATGTGATGGCCAGCCATAGCTTTCCAAATACAATGTTTGTTTTATAATGACAATTAGTTAAGGCTACCCTAAAAGAGACAGTTGGCTGACAGTTATGTTCCTTTACTGTGTCAAACTTACTTAAATGATTTGATTGTAATGATAAATTGTTTCAATTACTAACATAACTGACTGGTTCCCCCCCCCCCCCCCCCCCCCAAAAAAAAAAAATAATAATAATAATAAATATAATAAGATGTACGTGTGTTTGACTTACCGGTGTTGATTGCGTCACCAGAAACTCGACCTGTAACGTAGAATCAAGGAATGTAGAGTTATATTAAACTTTGGGATGAAGGGGTGGAAGGTGACGGGAAAAGTGTCTTGACTGTCTTTATTCTATGCATTCACTTTATTTATTTTACAACAATTGTGAAACAAGTTATTTCAACTTATACTAATCACTCTTGTTGGCCCGGATGTAAGCGCGTGAGGGGTCTTATTGTGAGAAGAAACCGGAGTACCCGGGGAAAACCCACGTGGTCGTGAAGGTGGCCCTTACCTTTTCACGTCCGTTTCTGGAGTCGAACCCCGGACGGCAAGGTGAAAGGCGAGTGCGTTACCACTGCGCCACCCGAGCACCCTTTTAAGATCTATCATTGAGCAAAACGTTTCTCTTTTCCCGTTTATGATACTTTTTGTAGAATTTGACGATTTTTTTTTCTTACTTATTTTCCATATTGTCTACATATCTTTCTCATATTTTATATGATACTTGGTACTTAAAAACGTTAAGAAGGAGCTAATACTCCCAGTCAATTTTAAGTCCAAGCACCTTAAACGACACATGTCACATATACACGTAAACACATTTTACCTTGTACAACACCTGGACCTTCGCCAATGGTAGTTGTGGTGGTGGTAGTTGTTGTGGGCGTGGTAGTAGTCGTTGTGGGCGTGGTTGTGGTTGTTGTGGGTGTAGTGGTAGTTGTTGTGGGCGTGGTTGTGGTTGTTGTGGGTGTGGTGGTAGTTGTTGTGGGCGTGGTTGTGGTTGTTGTGGGTGTGGTGGTAGTTGTTGTGGGCGTGGTTGTGGTTGTTGTGGGTGTGGTGGTAGTTGTTGTGGGCGTGGTTGTGGTTGTTGTGGTTGTTGTTGTAGTCGTTGATACTGGACCCATGTCTGAAATAGAACATGAAACACATACATAATGTAGAACAATGCCAGTCACAATACACCGATCGGTCTTCTATTTAGCTCGGTCGCTTGCGCGTAAACTATTTAACCGGAGGTCCCAGGTTCGAATCCTAGCGGAGGCATTTAAATATATAATGAATTCTGTTACCATGGCGTTCATGTTGGGACCCAAAGACATCCTCTTGGAAACTCGATGACGAGTTATTTCCTGGAGGGTGAGTAATTAAATCTGGCAAATACTGGCAGCAATATACTGCTCAGATTAGTAAACCAGAGGTCCTGAGTTCGAATCCTTTATTACAAAACTGGTACCTCAGACTAGCTAGGCATAAAGACGAATATTAATGTAATTATTTCGATATCCATGCGTTTATAGTTGCATACCTATGTATAAAGTGATATTGTGATTGTGTGCCACGATTGTGACAAATATATATATACTTACCATACTGACAGACGTAAGAGTAATGGTAATTCAAAACATCACACGGTTTGTCATGCCATCTGTAATTATCGTCCAGACGTAGATTGGCACAGTCCTCAATACAGGGAAAAAAACACCATTCCGGCTGTCCGGACGCCCAGTACCCCCACGTCACCGGATCACCTATAACAGAGATTAGACGGAGCACAATCGTCGCCTGTAAGAAGAGGGAGGAATGAAAATATCCAACCGTGAAGGTTTTCAATATAAGCTTAAAGTCCGTTTCACAATTGTTGCAAAATACAGCTTATATATCGAAGCATGACGGCAACTATCAAACTGCTGGTTGTTGTCATTGAACGACATTATATTATCACAACTTCTTCAAATGTGTCCGATTTTATAGGGTAATGTTTCCGTAATTGGCGATTTAAACAAATGGTCCCTCATTAACGGGGAATTAAAGAAGACATCGAATTGACGAATATTTGTTGAAATGATTCTTTAAGTTTGGCTAGGGACTTATCGTGAAAACTCTACCGAGAAACTATTTAATTCTCAGACATTTTGTAAAAGTTCAACGATTTTTAGTTTCCCTCTCTAAAAAAACATATATTCCACAACTTACAAAAAAAGCCATTCTTACCCTTGAAATCATTTGACGTTATACTGCCAAAAATTAAGTCTTCTTACCTTCAGTACAAGAGATTAAAAAAGGGAAATAACTCCTCCATAATCACGATAGCTTCTATAGCTAAAGCTCAGACAATGTTTGGAATACGAAAGAACCAAAATAATATCAAGACAATTAAGATCAATTTCATATCACTATTATGTTACCACACAATCATATACCTGTTACCCATCTCCATGATCCCTCGTCCGCCGTGTCATGGGCGCCGATCCACATCCCATTTCGGTTCCAGTTCAGATCCTTGAGGCTGCGTTCCACGAAAGCTTGAGTGTTGTAGTCTCTGATTTCGATCAGATGACCTCCCTTGTTCCCACAGGCAGCGCTAGCTACACCCCAGTGAACTTCGTGATTGATGAACTCATAACAATGCCCGTTATAGGTCCTGAGGTAGCCATTCCGCGCTATATTTAATGGACAGCGATACCACTCAGTTGAAGAGTACGCCGACACTGCAAAGACGATTTTTCATGTGGATTTGTATACCAATGGAGAGTAAAGGTTCTTAAGATATAAAAAAAAACACAAAAATACCAACTTATCAACAGAATTTAAGTTAACGCTTAAAGAGCCAGACCCACTCCTCGACCGATATTATTTTATATAAAAAGTTATGATTTTCTATTTTTCTCGGGTAGCAAAAGTTTTGACTAACCCTGTAATACCGCAATTTTAAAGTAAATCGCCATCAATTTAACGTAATAAATAGTTTTAAAAACTTTTGAGGACCTCTTTGCAATTAGTCGTAGTTTTTCTCGTAATCTGCACGTTCTTGTGTCATATCTAAGCATTGAAAGATGTGACCAATACGTACGTTAGGTGATTTCCATATAGGATATATAGAGTATTGCTTGCATTTATCGATAAAATCTCTTTACATGGTAGTGCTACTCATCTCTTTTGTTTTAGTTCTGACCGCGTCTGAACGTATCACGTGACTTTTCCTCATCAATATTCATATCATGGTGTTGATTAATGAGACTAATTCCGACACCGATATCTCCGGTACCCTTTCAATTTCAAGTTCGAAACTTTATACAAGTCTTTACTTATATATCATCTATTAGTATACAACAACATTTCCAGTCAATAAAATATGAAAAAATGTCTATAACGGAGTGGGTCTGGTTCTTTAACTTTTATAGAATGAGGTCAAAACATGAACAAAAAGGACGGGGTCAAGGGTCACCAGGACCTAGTCGGTCGGTTGTTCTGGAGCTCCGGTGAAAAATTATCTTTTTGTATGTTTGCACGATATATTGGAACTTAATTTTCTGTCAACATCTAGTTAATATGCTTAACTAGTTGACTGATATATCGGTCTGTGATATTTTCTTCGGAAAATATACTTTTGGAGCAGGAACTTTTGAGAACATGGACTGAGTCTAGTCACTGACCACTACTCACCACTTACGTATACCTGGCCGTGTATGTGTACACCTATAGATGGACTATCTACAGCCTATATATTCTGGAGCTTAGTTTTTTGTTTACTGGATATTGTTTATCATGCCTCCCAAGACCCTGCGAGATCGAGCTCCCAGCAGCAGGACCAGTGGTATTGGTACTAAATCCACAGACGATCGACTAGACGAGATATATGAGATCCTCAGGAATCTTATTACTGAGGATGTGTTGGATAAAAAGTTAGAGAAACTCCGTTTGGACATTCAGCTAGAACACGCAGAACGTATTGAAGCTCTGGAGGAGAGGGTAAACACCCTGGAAACTGAAAATAACAACTTGAAAGTGACAATTTCTGAGCTAGAGAACGAGTTATTGACCAGTCAAGATCGACAGAGTGAGATGGCGGGAAAGTATAACGACCTGGAACAACAAGGCCGGAAGAATTCTGTTAGAATCGTTGGACTTCCAGACCCGGGAGTGAGGGAATCGGTAGAGGACTGTGTCCAAACGATCGTGGGATTTGTACGTGACACCTTGAAAGTACCACTTCAGGAGAGGGACATTGACATCGCACATAGATTGGGAAAGTACAATGGTACAAATCCTAGGAATGTGATAGTAAAGTTCACGCACCGGAGAAAGAAGCATGAAATTATCCGCGCCCGCAAGATCCTGAAAGGTTCCAAGTTTGTTATCTATGAAGACCTTACTTCCTTAAATCAACAGAGACTGAAGGAAGCGTTCCGTATGAACTGTGTCAAAAATTCGTATAGCACAGACGGGAAAATATATGTGATTTTGACTAATGGCAAGAAGCGCAGACTTTTACACGATACACCCTTGGAAGAAAGTTACTTGATGAACGATGCTAATTTTGTATCAAGGAGATAGAAGTTGGACAGTGCACAGTGATCGGTAAATGACTTAATGCCAGTGTGTCTGGCAACCGATCACCTTTGTGTTGTATACTAGTGTGCTTTTTTCTGTGGTGTACATGTATATGTGTGTTGTGTGATCAATTCTTCTGTGTGAAAAGGATATATATCATTACTGAAATTCCATTTGTAAAAGGTAAGAATAACTACGTAGTATTTTTTGTGACTTTAGATTTTAAAGTATGATAATGAGATATACACATGTAACGTCATTCAAAGTGAGCATATAGCTTGTTATAAATAATATATTTGTAACTGTCGTAATTTAAGAAAGATTTTTTAAGCTCCGAAAATAAATGGTATGTATATGCTATATTTTGAGGATGTCGTAGGTAGTAGTAGTATTTAAGTCCGTGGTAGTCCATAATATCTTGCTAATAACCTATATTGAGTAGCCAGGTATTATATGGGATATTATATATAACTTACAGAAATGCATGTATGCTATAATATAATTGGTGAACGTGTAGTTGTTTTATATATACTTCCGGTCCGGGTGGTCTCGGGAGGTCCCCCGGTCTATTCCGGACAGTTCCGCGGGCCGGTTCATTCTCCGTGCATTAGTATCAACACTTCCTGTTTGTCATTTCCGGTATAGCGGCACAAATTGTCTGATTGTCCGAAGTTTTCACGGCCAATAGGTTGTGTGTAAGTGTTGAGTGGTGGTGTAGCTCCTTTCTTGACCTTGTAAGATGCTTTTATCACAACCTTTCCCCCCTCTTATCCCCATTTCTTCTCCCTTTGTCTTGTTTCCTATTTCCCAGCTGGAAGGCTGCTCTTACGCATTCATTCAATTTCTCAGTTATGGATGATATCTGTGTACTCTCGGTGAACTGTCAGGGTCTTGGTGATAAAATTAAGAGGAAGGATGTTTTCTCATACTTAAGAGACAAGAAATACCACATCTACTGTTTACAAGACACTCATTTTTCAACAGAACAAGAAAATTTAATTAGAAATGAATGGGGGTATCACAGTTTTTTCAGTTCTTTCTCATCAAATTCTCGTGGTGTAGCAATCTTACTCAATAATAATTTTGAAAGTAAAGTTTATAGAGAAAAACGTGATTTAGAAGGAAATTTTTTAGGGATTGATATTGATATTGAGGGTAGTAGATTGACACTTATAACCATTTATGGGCCTAATCAGGATAATCCAATTTTTTATACTCAGATTTCGGAAACTATTGACAGCTTTGGAAATGAAAATATAATAGTCTGTGGCGATTTTAACCTCGTGATTAACCCTGAGCTTGATTATGATAACTCATATAGAAACATCAACAATGCATCTGCTAGGGAGAAGGTGTTAGAAATCAGTGAGACATACAATCTTATAGACATTTTTAGAGAACTTCATCCAGATATTAAGAGATATACTTGGCGAAGAAAAAATCCTATTAAGCAGGCCAGACTAGACTTTTTTCTCACTTCAGACAGTTTATTATCCAGTACAAGAAAATCTTTCATAGAACCAAGTTATAGATCTGACCATTCGGCTACAGTAATAGCGTTAAAATTAAATGAATTTAAAAGAGGAAGAGGTCTCTGGAAGTTTAATAACTCATTATTATTTGAACTAGATTATTTAGACATGGTTAAAAAATGTATAGATGACATAAAATTACAATATTGCCTACCTGTATATAATCTTAACTCTGTTTCGCTGTTACCTAATACAGAAATTCAATTCTTAATTAATGATCAATTGTTTTTGGAGACATTGTTAATGGAAATAAGAGGCAAGTCAATATCATATGCATCTCATAGAAAGAAACAACAGAACCTTGAAGAAGAAAACCTAAAGAAATCTATCGAAATTATGGAAGCTAATATAGACACTGACCAGGAAGAATTAGATGTTAAAAAAAGAGAACTTGAAGCAATACGGTCAAAAAAAATAAAGGGCAGTATTATTAGGTCAAGGGCCAAATGGGTGGAGGAAGGGGAGAAACCAACTTCGTATTTTTTAAATCTTGAAAACAGAAACTTTACTTCTAAAATTATTCCAAAAATTCAGAAAGATAATGGGGACATAATTACCAATCAAGATGATATTTTAAAAGAAGTTAAACTATTTTACGAAAACTTATACAAACATAAAGAAGTTACCCCAATTGATTTGGATCATCATCTCCATGACTGCAGTGTCCCTAAGTTAACTGATGCTGAGTCCAATAATTTAGAAGGTATTATAACATTTGAGGAGGCAGGAAAGGTATTGAAAGATATGAAAAACAATAAGAGTCCGGGTTCAGATGGCTTTACTTCAGAATTTTTTAAAACTTTTTGGAATTTCATAGGTATTTTTGTGATTCGTTCGATTAATTATAGTTTTTCAGTGGGCCTTCTCTCAATTACTCAGAGACAAGGTGTTATAACTTGCTTACCTAAGGGAGATAAGCCCCGTCATTTTTTAAAAAATTGGAGACCAATCTCTCTCTTGAACATTACATATAAAATAGCATCTGGAGTAATTTCATATAGGTTAAAATCAGTTTTAGGAAAACTTATTCATGAAGATCAGACGGGATTCTTATCTGGGCGTTATATTGGGGAAAACATCCGTACTATTTATGATGTAATGCGTTATGCAGAAGATTTGAATATTCCAGGAATGTTACTAATGGTCGACTTTGAAAAAGCTTTTGACTCAGTTTCTTGGGATTTTATTGATAATGTTCTTCGTTACTTTAACTTTGGAGTGGATATTAGGAAGTGGGTAAAAATTCTGCATACTAATGTTTATTCAGTGGTTAATCAGGGGGGTAACATTTCTAGACCAATTAACATTCAGCGTGGTTGTCGTCAAGGCGACCCAGTTGCCCCATATATTTTTATACTAAGTGTTGAAGTTCTAGCTGCAAGAATTAGAAATAATGAAAATATCCAGGGTATACAAATTAATAATGTGTCTATTTTAAATGTGCAATATGCTGATGATACAGGTCTGATTCTGGATGGAACTGAAAAATCACTAAAAGAATCTATTAATGAGCTGAATACTTTTGCTAAGATATCAGGGTTAAATATCAACACCAGTAAGACACAGGTTATTTGGATAGGAAGTAAGAAATATAGTGAGGAAGCTTTTCTTCCAGAGTTAAATCTAATTTGGGGTAAGAATAAGTTTACTTTTTTGGGAATTGATTTTTGTGTTAACCTTAGTGAAATTCCTGGAAGGAATTACGATAAGAAACTTGTTAAATTAAAGGCTCTTATTAATGTGTGGGAAAGACGAAGGCTTACTCCTTTAGGTAGAATCAGTATAATAAAATCTTTATTAATTTCCCAGTTCAATTATTTATTTATTACCCTACCAAATCCTTCCAACAGTTTTCTTGGTAAATTGAGCTCTATTTTATTTGATTTCCTCTGGAATGGCAAACAACACAAGATAAAAAAAGACGTGGTCATTCAGAACTACATAGACGGGGGATTAAAAATGATAGATATTGTAGCTTTCATAGATTCTCTCAAACTTGGCTGGATCAGAAGAATATTTCACTCATCAGGGAAATGGAAAATATTATTGAATTCTATTATAGATGAGAAAAAAATGTTAAATTGTGGGATAGAATATGTTAATTCTTGTTGCCTAAATTGTAGAAATCCATTCTGGAAAGATGTATTTAAAAGTATGATTAAACTTACTAACTCGGAACTTTTTAGACAATGTTATATCACATCTGTCTTAAAAAGTCCTTTGTGGTATAATAAAGACATTCAGGTGGGGAATAAATGTGTTTTTTATCCAAGATGGTTTAATGCAGGTATACATACCATAAATGACCTTGTAAAGAATTATGAAGACATGACATTTTATTCTTTTAATGAGTTTGGTAATCTTTTCCCAACAATCAACGCCAACTATCTGCAGTACTTTGGTCTAATTACATCTATGAAGAAATTTCTACGGAAGAATACACTTCAGGTTGTACAGATTCAACAACCTTTCATACCACTTTTTTATGAAATATTTTTCAAAAGTAAAAAAGGTTCAAAGGATTTTTATATTTGTTTAATTAAACGACCACCAATACCAACTGGAATTCAAAAATGGGGGATAGAGTTTGATTTTGATGAACAGAAGAGGAAAAATATTCTAAGAATCCCATTTACTATCACTAAAAACTCAAAACTTCAGTGGTTCCAAGCAAGAATTATTCATCGTATATTGGTCACAAATTCTTTTCTTTTCAAAATTAATTTAAGTCCTAGTCCTTTGTGTAATTTGTGTAATATGGAAAGGGAGACAATTATACACTGTTTGTGGGAGTGTGTCGAGGTGCAGACACTGTTAGAGAGATTTGAATCGTTAATCAACCAATCAATTCCATTTTGGATGAACAAAGAAACTTATCTCTTTGGTATTCTTTCTCCTACGGCTAATGTAGTAGATAATGAAATTTTGATTATTATTAAACAATATATATACAAGACAAGATGTCTGCACAAAACTCTAAGTTTAAATGGTCTCATAAATACAATAAAAGATCACTTCCGAGTACAAAAATATATTGTTTCCTCTAAAAATTGTCACATAAAAAGGAATTTTGAAAACAACTGGAAAAAATGGAAACCTGTTTTGGACTTATAAATTATATCTTGAGCTACTTTCTCCATTGACCTTGACATCACCACAATTTCAACCATTATTTCATTTTCCTCATTTTGACCTATATATTAACTGTAAATGTTAAAATAGACAGTATCTGATAAAGCCCTCCAGCTTGTTTCTTTCTCTCTTCTCCCTCTTCAATCCATTGCCCCTTCTTTCCTTCCCCTCCGCCTCACCCTTTCCCATCTGTCATATGTAATGTGTGTATGATCTTGTGAGGATGTGTGTGTATATACGTGTGAGAGAGGGTGTGTGAGTGTGTGTGTGTGTACTCATCCCATAGAAGGTATGGGCTGGGCCAAATTCCGTAGCCACCTATATTTTCTGTTGGTTAATAGTCTGGATGTTTGATGATGATGATTATGATGATTGA